CCTCACCCCCTTAGATCTTGCATTTGCAGACAGACAAATCACAAAGCCCTTCACTGCCAGGGACACAAATGCCAACATCAGGTTGTTCTCAGCATTTCTCTGCTACCAAATCCCAGCTGAACCCAAACCCCAGCGCTGTTCTGGCTGCTAAAAACCAGGACACCCTGCAGACAACAAAGAGCACATGAGCTCCTCTTCCCGTAACATTCTACAGAGACCTCTTGTCACCTCTTTGGGAATCAGCAGAGATTGGTTCTTGTCTCTTGGCTTCTTTTTTTGGGGGGGGCATGTTGCCAAGAAACCCAATGAGTAATTCTTGTGTATTTAGCAATGCTTACGGTTATTAGCGACGTGCTTCCGAGCGCTGGGAGTGGACCCTCTTTGTGCTGTTACACAACCTGCTGAATAAACCTCAGTCACAGGGATTTTTTCCTCAACCTCTTGTTTTTCTGGGATTCAGCCATGGGTATAAGTAGAAATAAGGTGTTTGCTTTTCCCTTGAGAAATTGCCAAAATAAAATCAAAAGTATTTTTTTTATAAGGATCATAGTTCTTTACACTCCAAAGGTGAAAATGCTGACAGTGGAGAAGAAAGTGAACGAGATCCTGAACAGGTTAGAGAAGACAAAAGTGGAACGTTTCCCAGATCTGGCTGCTGAGAAAGAAGCTCGGGATAGAGAGGAGAGAAATGAGAAAAAAGCCCAAATCCAAGAGATGAAGCGAAAGGAAAAGGAAGAGATGAAGAAAAAGAAAGAGCTGGAAGAACTTAGGTGAGTTGGTTAGAAATTGTAGTGCCAGCTTCTCACTTTGGCAGTTTTCATGGGTGCTGGGAGACAGTCTCGGGTCAGCAGTTTGTGTTTAGTGCTCAGCATTCAGCTGATCTGCTCTGGCACAGATCTCTGCACGGCCCAGTGATTCCCTTTGTCTTTAGAAGAAATGCATTTTCCCTCCTTTCTCCTCAAAGAAACCTGGATGTGAAACGATTGTTCAAAGAACTGTGGCTTTGGAGTGAAATTGAGCAAGTCACTTGGCTCATCCCATCATCAGGATGGGAGTGATTGCTTCCAGCTTTGCCTGAGCTTTGGAAATCACTGAGCCTTCGTTACAGATCTTCATCTTCCTCTCATGTGGCTGGTGTTAACTAAACCATGTGTGAATCCTCAATCCCACGCTCTGTTAGACACAGAATGAGGCGTGGTGGTTTGAAATGTCACCTCGACCTTCCTATCCCTGACACCTCATGGGTGAGTTTGTTCCTTAGGCTCCTGTACAACACTGGATGGCCCCAAAAGCTTGTTTTTAAGCTTTACTAAATCATGTTTCACTATAAATGACAATGAAACCAGAATTTGAAAACCTTCAGGATTATGTGAGTCAAAGAAAGCTGGGGAAGGACTTTTCATAAGAGCAGTTAATGACAAAACAAGGGGAAATGGGTTTAAGCTGAAAGAGGGGAGGTTTAGATGAGATATTAGGAAGAAGTTCTTCACTGTGAGGGTGGTCAGACACTGGAACAGGTTGCCCAAGGAAGTTGTGGCTGCTCCTCCCTGGAAGTGTTGAAGGCCAGGCTGGATGAGGCTTTGAGCAACCTGGTCTAGTGGAAGGTGTCCCTGCTGCTGGCAGGGGGGTTGGGACTGGATGAGCTTTAAGGTCCCTTCCAACCCAAACCACTCTGGGATTCTATGAAAAAACTTCAGGATTTTGGACACATGGAGAACTCAGAAGGGAGAGTTTAGAGAAGCAAAGTACCCTGAGAGTCACCAGCAGCACGTCTGTGCTGCAGAGTAAGGGGCCTGCCTGCTTACTTAACCTTGACCCAGAGCTGCCTCTTGGCCGTCCTCCAAAGTAAAGGAATTTCTCCCTCCTGAGATGATTTAGCTGGTAGTTCTTGAACAAAAATGTGGAGGAGTCTGCTTAGTGCCTGGGCTTTGGTTGTTTTAATTCACCGAAGAGTGGGAGATAAGTAAATACTGGTCCAGCCTGTCTGAGTTCAGAGTGGAAAACATTGTTTTTCGTAGAATCCCAGACTGATTTGGGTGGGAAGGGACCTAAAAGCTCATCCAGTCCCAACCCCCCTGCCAGCAGCAGGGACACCTTCCACTAGACCAGGTTGCTCAAAGCCTCATCCAGCCTGGCCTTCAACACTTCCAGGGAGGAGCAGCCACAGCTTCTCTGCCCAACCTGGGACACTGGCTCACCACCCTCACACCAAACAGTTTCTTCCTCCCATCTCATCTCCATCTCCCCTCTGACACTTTCAAGCCATCACCCCTTGTTCTCTCACTCCCTGCCCTTGGCCAAAGTCCCTCCCCAGCCTTCCTGGAGCCCCTTCAGGTACTGGGAGGCCACTAGAAGGTCTCCCTGGAGCCTTCTCTTCTCCAGGCTGAACAGCCCCAACTCTCTCAGCCTGTCCTCACAGCAGAGCTGCTCCAGCCCTCGCATCATCCTCGTGGCCTCCTCTGCACTGGCTCCAGTAGCTCCATGTCCTTGTGCTGTTGGTGGCCCCAGCACTGGAGGCAGCACTGCAGGTGGGGTGTCAGGAGAGCGGAGCAGAGGGGCAGAATCCCCTCCCTCCACCTGCTGCCCACGCTGCTCTGGGTGCAGCCCAGGACACAGTTATTGGCCTCTGTGCTGCCAGCGCACGTTGCCGCCTCATGTTGAGCTTCTCCTCCCCCAGAATTACTGGTACTTGGTCCTGTTCTCTCAAAACATCTCTCTGTTGATGAGTTTTGAAAACAAAATCATGGCAGATAATGTAATTTCTCTTCCAGGAGCTACTCATCGTTGATGAAGGCTGAGAACATGTCCTCCAATCAGGTAAGTGCTGGCTGATCCCACAGACCTTTCCCAGCTGCCTGAAATCCAATACAGGATCGTGATGGTGCAGCTCCTGCATTGCAGTCTGGTTTTGGTGACTCCTGCATGACAGAGCACATCTCCATCACCCCTTCTCAGTGAAGGACATTGTCACTGTCACCTGCTTTCTGAGCAGGGCCCTTTTGGTTTTATGTCAGCCGGGAGGAGCCTGTGCTGCTGGAAATGTCCCCCCAGTCCCCTTCCCGAGACAAAGAATAGGTAGAGCTTGAAGTGAGGCACCAGACTTACCTCTCCTCCTGAGCTGTTGGGGCATAACCTGGCTCATGAGAAGAGGAGATCTTCCTCATGGGCACCATGATCTTCCTCATGGCCACCATGACCTGCATACAGCACCTTGTCACTTCAGGAGAAGGAGGGAAATGCACATTTTGGATAGGAAATGAACTGGAGGTGTGAGGATAACGGTGTGGGGAGGGGTGAATATGGGTGCTGAGGGGCAGAAGAGGAGGGTTGAAGGGATGGAGGGAGCAATTAGTTGTCACCCCAGGACTGAAGCTGTAGAACATGGTGGAAAAGGAGCCAAAGCAAGAGGAACACAGACCAGGGGGAAGGAAACAAGGTGGATCACAGGAGGGCTGGGGGCTGAAGTTCAGAAGAAGTCCTGGATGCACGTGTGGTTTGCCTGAGGTCTGTCACACCTTCCTTCTTGGTCAGACCTCGGGCAAACAGATCTGGGAGCTCCTCTGAATGACCCTCAGTTAAAATCCCCTTTTTGCAATCCTGAAGAGCTTAGAAGAGCGTGTGGTTTGCAGGAATTCTTGATTTTTCCTCCTGGTTGGCATGCAGATCCCCTTTGAAACTTGACCTGAGCTGCAGTGTGAGCTTCTCCTGACACGCACACGCCGGCTGTGCCCGATTTAGCGACGCTTGCCAGGGAGAGACAGGATCCCAGAACAGCCTGGACTGGAAATGACCTTTGAGATCATCCAGTCCAACCATGAA